CCGGCTCGAAAATCCCACGACCGATCGGGTTCATTTATCGATCGGTCGAATGGTTCAGCCGCAACAAGGGACCTGGTGCTTGCCCAGCTAACCCGAGCGAGAAACCACACCTTTTTTTACAGCTGTGAGTCTCAGGCAGGCCCAGTGAACTTCGACTGTGCAGCAGGTGTGCCATCCGTATTCGGATGGATAGGACGTAACACCAAGAGCATTACAAAACGTACGAGTACAAGCCGGTAATCAGACAGTCTCGTGTTGGGGTGAGAGACTTTAAGCGCCGCAGATCGCGGGATATGATCCAATCAGATCGCATTAGGGGTCAGAGGGAATTTACTTGCTTAAGGTCACGGGTGAGAGGGACAAGACGACTGAAAACAATGGAGCAATCACACTGTATGCCATGGGAATTTAAGCTTTTGTGATCCAAGCCCGTCTCACAATCGTCCGCCGCACTTCACCGGGAGGAAGAGAAATCGGTGCGGCATGGTGATCAATCAGATATCGCTGGGAGGCTTGTGAGCACCGATGAGGTCAACGCGACAGCTTGAAATGATTACCGGACATCTTCAAATGAAACCCGGGCATCGAGATATGATATTGGGATAATTTGAATTGCAAAAGGCATCGACGGCATTGCCGAATGTGAATCCGTGTGCCATCGGACTCCTTAATTACCTCACTCACGCCTCCTTTCCCTGGCCTGTACTCCTAATTAAACAAAAGAGATTGCGACTATTATCGATAGCCGCAGCCTTCTCCATTTCTCTAAACTTCCCTACCTACCACTTCTCGCGGTCATTCCTCGGACTCTTGATGAGCTGGCGTTTAAGGAATTTGCGCGCCTGTCGTGTTTTGAATCCGAAGGAATTGCCTTGCGAACATCCAGCAAGACAACTCGNCTCGCTTAAGCCGATTATCGCACCAGCTACCTCCACAGCTTTAGCGAGCCATGAGCAACCTAAGTATCGAAGTCATGGACTGCGACGTCAGACGCATTTCAGAAATAGTGCGGGCGAACTTGAACAGGAGGTGTTGTAAATGTTTCGATGCGTGAGAGTATAGTAAGTTTTTCGCGTATATTGCATGCATGCACTCGAGGATGTTACATCATCATTTGGGGACTCTAAGCCACCTTTCTCTGACTATACACCGTATTGTTTCTTGTTTTTGTTGCTGTATGCCTAAGAATTTCAAATCAACGTATAGAATTTTTGGTTGCTGATTTATGAGTGATCGTTGCACGCGTAATCATTGACCTGAGGATGTTCACAATAAAATATCCGCATATTTCTGTTACTGTTGACCTGAGCCAAATATATTTGTCGTGACCCTGCTTTGCTCCCCTTTTCTAGGCGTGTTCGTATTGAGATAACTAAGGACGGGTCATAACAATGGAATCCTCGAAAATTAACTAAGATAGTAATACAATTTAATGTATTTGAAACCCCGGATCGTTCGGATCGGAAAATGTATGCGACCATTGTACCAATCAGTTTACATCGGGATTGCTCAGAATTATCAGTCCAAGTTGAGTCAAATGCCCTATTTATTAACCATCATGCGGCTCATTTGATCTGATGGCAACGAACTACACCCAGTTTACTCTCTGTTACATGCGATTTTAAAAAAACCCATTCAATGAGGATGGATATACAAGTGCTGAGAAAACGTGGGAAATGAATTAAGATAGGTTACATTTAACTCTAATTTAACTCATACCACAACTCACAAATAACGATAATTCGAATGTAAATATTTTAAACCATTTGGTTGATTTCAATGGGATTAATATTGGTATCAAAGATACATTTACCGTTTTATTACACTGTTTTCATCTACTCCTTTCTCTCTCTCTCTCTCTCTGTGATCATTTTCCAAGGTTTGTTTCAACTCTCGTGGGACATCTGTCCTCACAGCTAGCGCAGACAAAACCGCAAGGTTATGGGAGGCCGAAAATGGTCAGCTGAAAAACATTCTGGCCGGACATACTGACGAGGTGTTCAGTTGTGCATTCAACTACGAGGGCGATACAATTATTACTGGATCGAAGGACAACACATGTCGTATTTGGCGCTGAACGGACTTTGTGTGGCCCGAATGCCAATTCCATGAGTCATTTTCTGTCCGGTGATCTTTGTTGAGCAATGCATGCCCCTTTTGTTTCCTTCGCTTGAATACACCTATGCGTGCCCCCGTATCGATCACCTCCATCCAATTTCACATGCACATCTGCATTTACCACTTTCCGATTCCGTACTTTGTAAAAATCAGTGTCGACGAGACGTGAAACGTCTCGTGGAAACGATTTGTCACCTGTTTGTTTTAATTCAAAAGTGCTTCTTAGACTGTAAATGATTGTTTTACAAAATATCTCCAAAACGAATGTCTCAAAAGTATGATGATGAAATAAGGGGTTCTCTCTGTGTACGAATAATAAATCCTCATTGAAGCAAAATTAACCGTCTTAATTTATTGTTCCCCATTCACTGACGCACTATTTGTCAATTTAAGCCATGGTTGAAGAATTCGTTATCAGTCTTGATTGATCAAATTTGGTTTGTAAACTCAACTTTATTGTAACGTTCATATTGAAAATCAAATATTCACCCTCTGTCTTCGGTCTGTGAGAAATTGATTTGTTTCATCTATGCTATGTCTATGTTTACGCGAAAATTGAGTACATTTTAAAACCAAGCAGGGGGTAGAATTCAACTTTCGCTTCTGTCCTATGTCTACAAGTATACTACCAGTGGGTTATCACTCCGTCAGTGTAAAGTTTCGTGATTAGCATTGTTACAGATAGAATGGTGATTTACCACATCTGCTTACGGGGTACCGAGAAGTAAAACATGATAAGCTTGAATAGAGGAACAAGATAACACTAGCTTGCAGTGTGCCTTGTACCACCTCATGGTATCAGTACATGGGCATACCCTAGTGTTATAAAGCTTGGATTAGACCGGTTGAATGTAAAACAGCATCCACGAAATTAAGAATACACATTCAGTAGAAGAGTAACTTAATGAATTTGTATTACCGTACAATTACAGGGTCTGGGATATTCATTTAACGTCAGATAGTTTTACAGGAAGTCTTAAGTTACAGTTACTTATATATATCACAAACAGCGTAAGCGTTTGTCGTGCATTTGTTTCTCTATCCGAAGTGCAGATGATGCAAGGGAAACTTAGCACTCACCACCACCCTTCAAAGAAAGGTTACCAACCGAGGTGTTGTTGATATATATATCGATTATATATGTTATGATAAATCGATTATGTTTTCACTACCAACAAACAAAATCTTTGCTCGGGACCAACAGATACGGTTCGAGGTCACTGCTGAACATAAACTTACTCTCACCGCATACTGATCACCTCAATGACACGCATAAATAAAGGGATGCCATTTGCATCAATCACTCCTGTTGCATGGCATAATGCTCAACCTCACAACATCATGGTGATAGTTTTCAAAGCACGAAATATGCCCATGGATAAAGAACACAATTTAGGCGAACATATGTTTTCGGTGAATTCCTTTTCAAGCTTTTATAACTTCAGTAGGGGCAAACAGAAAAGGGGATGAATCATGTGCTTGGTAATGCGTCCGGGAGAACTCAAAGTTTGTACGCTGTTTGAATTACGTAACCAAAGTCACTAGATTACTTCATGTTCATGTGGACAAGCGATTTCTCTACCCCTGACCAGGGCAGTTTGAGAGTTTGGCTCAGTTTTCTTTGTGCGCACAGCTAAGGCTTCGCGAATCGGATACTAACCACCTCTGCGGTTGCCAACGTCCGAAACCGTATTGCTGTATAGAGGGATGTGGTGAGACTCGATAAATGATTGTAAAGGACGAGCGCATGCCAACCAAGTGTCCCGTCTCTACCAGATGAGCAATGATTCAGCTTGACGCAGTTCTACTCCCCCCCCCCCTATATGAGCCAGTGTGGATTGTGTTCTTT